AATCGGGAGTTTCCTTAAAAAGAGATTTCTGAGCAGGATATCTATAAAGAGGCCCAAGGATATAAACAGACAGTTCACAGAAACAGTAACACAGCCGTAGGCTCCTAAACTCTATGAAAAGATGCTCAATGCCACTCATAAGACAATAAATGCAGATTAAAGCTAGATGAGATATCGTTTTCTCCTCCCAGGCTGGCAAACATTCAAAGGCTGGGAACATACTCTGCTGGCAAGACAGCGGGGAAAGAGGCACGCACATACTGCTGATGGGAAGCCGAACCGGTAAACCTCCCATGAAGAGTGATTTATCTGTATCTCAAAATTATAAACCCTTGTAACTTTCATACAAATAATTACTCTCTTTGGAAATTTATCCTACAGACTAGCAAAAGTGTGAGATGCTGTGGACATAGGACAAATATTACATAACTCTGTCACATCAAAAGATGACAACAATCCAATATCCATAAATAGGAGGCAGATTTTTTTTAAAGCATATTCTGTTCATCATAAAGTGATATGCTATGTAGTGTAAGAGAGAAAAAAGGAAGTGTTCTATTCTTTAATTTGGAAAAAAAAATCTCCAAATTACTCTATTTGGGGGGGGGGGAATCAACACGCAGAATACACCCTTTTGATGAGGGTGCGAGGATGGGTATTGAAATCTGCATTTCTATTTGCTTGCATACGTAAAAGAAAAAAGGACACACACAAAATGATTCCTCTCACACATCGCTGGAGGAAGCTCAGTTATACAAAGGACCCTGGAAAACAGTCTGTCAAGCTCTAGGAATGGTGAAGATGTGCACATACCAAACTCAGCAATTCCAATATATGGTCTCCATCCTGGAGAAACCAGGACACCCAGACCAGGCGACATGCGTGAGAACACGCACGAACACGGTCCAGGATAGCATGACACGCGTGAGAACATGCACGGTTCAAGAGAGTGAGGGTGTGCAAACAAACAGACAAGTGAAGCAAGCTGGCTGAAAGACACGTGCAGGTTGAAGTCATTTACACAGAAATTTTAAACATGAAAAATAATATTGTCCCTTGTTTATGAGTATATACATGTGTAAGTAAAAAGTATTTCTAAAGCATACCTAGATAATAATACTAAAACCCCAATTCTAGATAAAAGTTATCTTGGAAGAGAGAGAGAGAATTAATAGAGGAGGCATGTTTCAAGTATACCTTGTGGCTTTGGGGATCTTAAAAAGGGTAAAAGACATAAACTAAAAAGAAAAAAAAACATTCTTAGGTACCAAATCATTAGAAATCTCTGTTTTAAATTCCAGATGATTCTGAAAAGGCAGCCAATCGAAAGACAATATCTGGATGAAACTAAACTAAAACATTCCATATCTCTACTGGTTTTAAAAAATTAAAATTTTATATCTGATTAAAACTAGTTTTGCCATCTGACTTCCATTTCTAATCAAGACTTCTTAGGTTCCTGTATTATAATATGCAATGTGAGTGAAGCACAAACATTAAATGGAGTAATTAAGGTAAACTCTTTAGAAAAAGGTAATTTACCAGGTATTTACTTCTTTTTAAAGAAATACGAGCAAATGCTAAAAAGTTCTTGCAATTCAACTTCCACTGACAGGTCACCACTCTGAGATTGGCTAAGTACCACTGAACTGTATTTCATATCTACTGAAACAGATGTAAGATTGTTTCACTCCATCAGCACCTGACTTCCTGAAAAAGTTTTGTCTTCAGTTGCATGTTTGTGAGCAGCACGGTCAGCTCAATATTATTTCCTGATGAAATAGCAAAACCCAGTGAACTCTACATGATTTCACGTCAGACCAGTGTAACTAAGAAGGTACCTACGACACAGTGCGTGCTAAATAGTCAACAAACTGTGAGAACAGAGAGAAGAGAGAAGAAAGCTTAGGTTTCAGAGCATCCTTTCTCGGTTCACCCCTAAGAAACAGGTAAACACAAAGATGCAGAAGCCCAGATACAGGTAACCAGGTGAAGAAAAGAGAATCATAAATAAGGCTCTTCATCTATTTCCTCATTCTTTCCCTCCTTATTGAAGGAATGGTGCTAAGGACCTGGAAGTAAGGAATAAAAAGAGAAAATGGCAAATTGTCAGATGGCCCAGCAGAATGAAGATGAAAATGAAGACAGGAAATTCTGAGGTCTACTCCTGGCTCCACCACAGGTTGACTGGTGTGCCATTGTGTCTACCCGGGACTCAGTACCTCATCTGTAAAATGAAATGGCCAATAGTAACAACTTTTTCGGGCAGCTTTGTTGACGATGGAAAAGTACTTTGGTAACAGCAGGGGTTGACACGTGACATATTAGGTTCTGTGTCTGGAAGGCTAAGCAAACTCAGCAGCCGGAACTCTCGATCACAGGACTCCCATTAAAAAAAACAAATGCTCTGCTCCATCTCCCAAATTACAGACATGCGAAAAGCCACATCTACGTGCTCCGCCCAACAGAAATGATCACTGTTGTCAGTGCAGAGTCTGGCCCTATGCTTTTCCAGGGGAGGAGGGGGAAGCGGGGCTCTGGTTTAAAGGACACTGGCATCTTGTCATAAGAACCATCATTATAGAACGTCTGGTCAGGCTCTCCCACTCCATCCCATTGCCAAGTACAATCAGGCAATGATGGACTAGAGGTGTGGACCAATCCTCCTGATGAAGACAATCGGGAAAGCAAGATGAAATACACACAGCATCTTCCTAAAAGCAGACAACAGCTCTTCTCATAGTGTGGAATCGCCCGGCCGTGTCCAGAAGTAGATGGGAATACGGAGAGGCAGGCCAGGAGCTAGACTGCCTTTCCTACTCCCCGGAGGGGGAGGCTGAGGGGCCAGTTAGCACTCTGACAGCTCTGGAGGAATGGGAACCAAAAGTTGGGGTTTAGGGCACAGAAAAGACAAGGTCCCTGGCAAAACTCCCACACTTTTGTTGTTCAGTTGTTAAGTCATGTCCAACTCTTTTGTGACCCCATGGACTGTCAGGCTCCTCTGTCTTGGTATTTCTTAGGCAAGAATACTGGAGTGAACTGCCATTTCCTTCTCCAGCAGATCTTCCCAACCCAGGGATCAAACCCGCGTCTCTTGCCTTGGCAGGTGGATTCTTTACCACCGAGTCACCTGGGAAGCCCTACCTTTAAGAGTAGGACCCCAAGATTAGGAGCTGGAGTAAGACTAAACTAAATATAAGCCTGCCCTTTAATGGACTGTGGCCTCACTTCAGGTCATCTGGAGGGCTCTGAAAAACCTCAAGTTCTGAAATTAGATTAAACTGATTTTGGAGACCTAGTGCCTACCAAAGCTTGTACCATAGGCAAATGAAAATGCTCTCTGAAAAATGAAGCCATTGAGCTAAGAATCAAATTATTTCTAGAGGGACAACTGGATGCCACAAGAAAAAGAATGAGACTAAACCCCTGCTTCACACTGTAACCAAAGATGCAATCAGAGTGGATCACAGACTAAATTTAAAAGCTAACACTATGAAACTATCAGAAGAAAATATAGTTATAAATCTTTCAGGTCTTGGATTAAAAACTGGTTTCTTAGAAAAGACACAAAAAGCAATAAAAAGGAATGACAGACTGATACAGATACAATGTGGATGGATCTAAAAACATTATGCTATGTAAAAGAAGACAGTCATAAAAGGATACATATTGCATGAGTGTGTTTACAGGAAATGCTAAGAAAAGGCAAATCTATAGGGACAGAGAGCAGATGAGTAGTTGGCTGGGGCTGGGGCTAGAACTGGGGGAAGGGACTGCTAACACAGTAAAGACAGTGTTTCTCTTCGGGCTGGTGAAAACATTCTGAAATTAGATTATGTTGATAGTTGTGCAACTCTATGAATCAACTGAAAACCAATGAATCATACTTTAAAAGGATGAACTGTAGGATATCTGAATTATACTTCAGAAGAGCTGACATCAAAATGTACTATAATAATTTTTTTTCCAAACGTTAATATAATGACCAGCATGATCATCAGATAGCCTGGCAAGAAGACAAAATGACACACACAAGAAAAGGAACCGTAGGTTACAGACCCAGGTCCAAACTCAATCGAAACCACAGTCAAAAGAAGCATGCCTGTTATGTGCTTGTTATGGAGAGAAAAGCCAAACAAAAACTCCTAAAAGGAAACAACTAGAAATTCCAGAATTGAAAACTACCATAGACAAAATAAAGAACCCAGTGAAAAAGAGCAAACTTATTAGCAGATTAGATACAGCTAAAGACAGAAACAGTGATCTGGAAAGAAACAAGAAGAAAAGTAACGAACCTAAAGGGGGAAAATAAGGATGAGAAACAAAAAGAGAAGATAAAAGTAGAAAATAGTGAAAAAGTCTAACATATATTTAAATTATTTGGGAGAGGGAAGGGAATGGGGCAGTTATATTTTAAGGGAAATGGATGAAAACTTTTTCCAAAACTTAGAAAAAACTTAAATCCACAGATTTAAAAGGCCCAGGGAAACTGAGCAGGAAAAAAAAAAAAAAAAACTACATCCAGACACGATGGGCTTCCCTGGTGGCTCAGATGGTAAAGGCTCATCTGCTTGCAACGCAGGAGACCCAGGTTCAATCCCCTGGAGAAGGAAATGGCAACCCACTCCTGTATTCTTGCTTAGAGAATTCCACGGACAGAGGAGCCTGGCAGGCTATAGTCCATGGGGTCACAAGAGTCAGATACAACTGAGCAACTTACACTTTACTTTGGACATGACAAAGCAAAACAATAAAATCAAACCAAAAGAGAAAGTTACTAGAAGTAGATTGCAAACAGGAGGCAGAATGCCTTTTTGAAGACAAAATTTAAGATTAACCTCAAAGTAATCAGAATATTCAAGACATCAAAGACACAACTATTCAGGTCAATCCACTATTCGCCTGAGCTTGCATTTAAAAAAATGCACATTAAATAAAAAACAGATCTCAGGAAGAGGTCTGGGAAAGAAACTGGCTCAGAAACAAAAGCAACAAGTTACCTTCAGCCATTGCTCAGCCTGCTCCTTACTCTGGACGGCAAGAACAAGTGGGTCTGTGCCCTGCTGGGTGATTTTCAGTTCATGCTTCTTCTTTTTGCTGTCTTTCGGGATGTATGTAATGTTGCAACCTTGGAGCGGCAGTTCCATCTGGGGCTGCTGATCCTTGGAACTTTTGTAGCACTGTGATGGACAGGAGAAATCAGAGTGAGGGTGTAAGGAAGTCCCTTACTACGGATAAAACTACAGCAGTGAAAACAGCACTGGGGAAGCACCTGGAGGTCCAACTGAAGAGCAGAGATACTCAGAAACTGAAGTCCCTGAAGATCCTGGGACTCACACACAAAGCCCCGCTGTACACCCACACGTCACCTCTGTGTACGTGCAAACACACTTGCTCATAACTCAGCAGAGTCAGCCAGCACCAGGACGTGACTCAGCAGGGAAATCAAGTCCTGATGGATCTTATGTTCTAGTGGAGCTTCCTCTATAGGTGACATGAATATATTAGATTTGCTCCAACGTGGGCACACAGCACCTTGGATACACCACAATTTTTGTTGTTTCATGTCTACCTATCTCATCCCTACTTTATTTCTGAAACACAGATGAATCATTTTATGAAGAGTATACATATCAGCATATAATAGATAGAAATGTCTGCCAAGCTGTGCTTTCTAGTTGAGTGCAGGGTCCAAGGGAGGGCACTGAAGGGGTCTGGGCACATCTCAGTGTCCACCAGCGAGCTGCTGGGAGCAGAAACAAATGGGTTCTGGAAAGAAACTCAAAGAAGCTAGTCATGGTGGCGCCCGTGGGAAGACACACTGGGGGCCGTTAAGGGAAAAGGCTGCTGTTTTGTTTTCCATTTACAGCTTTCTGTTCTGTCAGACTTAGACAGCACTTGCTTTTCTCACTGTTAACTTTTTTTTTTTTTTCAGTGTCAACAGGAGTAATCTGGGCAGTTGGATTATAGGTCAGTTTTGAAAGAAACAAAGTTTCATAATAAAACTTTGATTCTGCATTTCATCAAAGACAGTGGCTTTGCATGGCTTTCCATTCATCCCTTCTTAAATATTTATAGCTACTCTAAATGGCATCATCATCCCAGTTTGGAAGATGGGAAACCTGTTAAGTGATGGGAGAAGCAGATGAGGAGTGAGGGAAGGAAGAGGCAGGAAGGGAAGGGGCTGGGGCAGAGGATGGACTCGGCACCTCTGACAACTGCTGACTGTACCCCGACTACAGGCTTCCCATAGCGTGCTCTAAAACTTCTTTTGTATGAGAAGTGAAGTGAAAGTCGCTCAGTCGTGTCTGACTCTGTGACTCCATGGACTATACACACAGTCCCTGGAATTCTCCAGGCCAGAATACAGGAGTGGGTGGCCTTTCCCTTTTCCAGGGGAATTTTTTCAACCCAGAGATCGAACCCAGGTCTCCTGCATTGCAGACAGATTCTTTACCAGCTAAGCCACTAGGCAAGTCCTTTACACAAAAGCCAACTGTGTATTTTTAAAACATTTATATAACATATCCACATCTTGCAGCCATTATGTCAGTTTGTAAATACGGACCATATTAATTTTTTTAATCTTTTTTCTTCTTTCATTCTTTACTTTAAAATTCCCCCGTGGCATCATCATTTTTTGGCATAGTCTAAATTTGGGAGAAATTCAGGCCACACATGTGGAAAAAAACGTACTCTCACTGCTTCAAAAAAGTGTTTTTTTGAACAAAACCATGAATCAAAAAACATACTATGTCCTAAGAATCTAGTAAAATAAGATTCCCATAATTCACAGATGAGATTGTTTTTTTAAAAGGGAGGTCATCTGCTTCACTGAAAAGTGAGATACAGAATCATATATCTTCATGTGTTCTGTTTTAATGATAGAATCTTGAGTGATTTTCGTTCCCCAAGGTTCATTTGAAGGAAAAACAAAATACAAAAACACAGTCTAACATTCTTAATTCCAACAACCAACCGTGATTTCTGAAGCTGGGAAGGAAGGAGGGAGGAGGGACAGAGGATGCGTCTCAAAGGCCCTGGCTTCCCCTCTAGGCTCCCCGGCGGCCTGGCGCCGGCAGCAAAGGGTGTGCGTCCTCCACCCCCACTCCGCTGCTACTTACTCTTTCTATTCTGCCTCCCCGAGTTACAAAAACAGAAAAGAGAGTCAGCCTTTAGCTTTCCAAAAGAATTTCCTTTCCCGGGCACCGTCCCCCAGACCTCGCCTGGCCTGCCCATCCGCCTTCGATGACCTGGCTTTGAGGAATTCACTGACTCACTACAAATGAGAAAATCCATCCTGCGACGTCTGGCAAGCCCCAGCAGCGTGCATTTCCACTGACACGAGCCGCAGACGCTGGCCCAAGGCGGGGATGGTTTTGCCCGCTGAGTGCTTAGAGAGCTGGCGAGAAAAGGGCGTTAAAACCACGGGAGCCTCAGCCAGGACTTGCCGACGGCAGGGCTCAGGCCAGCGTGAAACCGCCCCGCCTGTGTCCACCAGTGGGAACGTCGCCCAGGGACAGCTTCCACCTGGTTAGATGGCCCACTGCGTCTCACCGACTCTACGCAACAGAACCGAGTGGCGAGGCTTTACCAGCAATTTTGTGTCTTTGATGACGCAGAGTAACTTGGTCCACTGCCCGAAGCGCTTCTTCCTCAGCAGGAAGGCACAGATCTTGGCGTCCTTCACCAGGTCCATGGAGGCTTCCTCCGAAGGCCACTGGTGCCGCGTCTTCTTCCCCTTCCCATCCTCCTCCTCCTCATCATATGATTCATAAGAGCTACTCATCGCATCCGAGTCATAATCTGTCAAAGATGAGAAAGAAAGGTGAGCAAAAACCTAGTTGCAAAAACCTTATCTTGAGGACGACCTGTGGGCTCCATTATTTTATTAGTAAGTGAGGAGGGGGTTCCTGCTTTCAGGGTACTTGGAAAACATCAACTGGCAAAATTGGGGGAAAAATAACTCAGACTTGGGTAGTAGAAACTCAATAAAGAGTTTTCAAATGAAGTGACTAAGAATTCTGCATTTATAAAAACCAATACGGCACCTGAAGGCCCCACACTGTTAAATCCTCCCAACGTTCTTGCTGGGTGCCATGACCCCTACTCAACAATAGGTTTTGCCAAAGGAAACCCCCACCCACACCTTGATGTGAAAGTTCTTTCAGGACTTCCCTGGTGGTCCAGTGATTAAGGATTAGCCTTCCCACAACCTGAGTGTGATCCCTGGTTGGGGAACTAGGATCCCACATGCTGAGAGGCAAGCAAGCCCGTGCATCACAACTACTGAGCCTATGCAATCTGGCACCTTTTACTTGGGAGTCCGTGCACAGCGACCAAAGACTAATGAAGCCAAATAAATAAATACATTTTTAAAGTTCTTTCAAGTCTGCAGTGCCTTCCTCCCTCCTGGCATCACCACATGCACCAACCCTTCTTAAGGTTCAAGATCCAGACCCAGACCACCTCTCTCAGTCATGCCATCCTGGGGATTGTCCACACGCGCCCTCCCTACCCTGCAGCGCATCAACACTTATATACCGGGGTGTCTGCAGGGTCCGCACTGGAGCCCGTGTTCCCTTCCTCGGGGTCTGTATACATGCTGCTCTCACCCAGGCTCCCTGCTGATCCCACTCCATCTCCTCCCCTTGCCTGGATATATGCTCATCACTGAGGATTTAACTCAGAGCACCTACTGCATGAAGTGCTCCCCTGGATCACCAGCACTGATGGCTGCAGACTGAACTGGGTGCCCCCCACATTCATGTGTTGAAGCTACAACCCCAGTGGACTTTTAGGAGGTAATTATGCATAAGTGAGATTATGTGAGTGGGTCCAAATCCACTGAGAAGAGGAGGAAGAGGGAGGCCTTGAGCTCTCTCTCCCTGCCACGTGAGGACATGGGGAGTAGGCGGTGTCTGTACACCAGGAAGACAGCGCTCACCACAAGCTGAGCACGTTGGAGCCCTGACCTTGGACTTCAAGCCTACTCAACTCGGAGAAAATAAAAAGCATCATTTTGCGACCTAGTGGATGATGTTTTGTTACGGCAGCCTGAGCTCAGATGCAGGTGAGACGACCCTCCCCTCGGCTTCCACACCACTCAGCACATAACTTAACCACTGTGTTGTCATGCCTGTCTGTCTGTCCCACATAAAGCTGTCAGTCCCCTGCAGGAAGGGAGACTGCCTTGCTGGATGTGACTGTCCCACGCTTCTGACCTGGCACAGAGCAAGTGACACGTTTGCGTAGAAGGGAGAACTGCTATTTGTTGTTCAGTCGCTCAGCTGTGTCCGACTCTTTGCAACCCCGTGGACTGTAGCACGCCAGACTCCTCTGTCCTTCACCGTCTCCCAGAGGTGGCTCAAGCTCATGTCCATTGAGGCGATGCTGCCATCATCATCCGGAGAACTGTTAGCTCAACTTAAACGCAAAGCCCTCAGAAGAATGGCTGGCATATTAAAAGTGATGAATCAACACGAGTGACTGTCTGATCTTGATCGCTTCAGCCCGGCTGGATCAAAAGGTCCTGGAGGCAGTGTCTGATTCACCTCAGCATTGCCTCAACTCCAGACACATCTGGAATACATTTGCTTTTCATAATACATGTGAGGAGTGAACACCTCAATGAGGAATGAAGGATAGATAAGGAGAATCTGTGGCTGAAGCAATTGGATGCACAAGAACTGGCCTACCTTCTACAGAACAGAACTCACTGGAAGCTGTACTGTAATCTATAATCAGCAGACACGTGTGTATGTTAACTTCCTTGCAAAGAATTATTTAACAAGGGGGTTGGGGAATAGAGAGGTTGATGGTTTACCTTTTAAATCCTAATAAACAAGTCAGGAGAGGATTTTACGGAAGAGACCAGGGTGACTAGTCTAGACTAGGGTAACTGACCCCAGAGGTAACTCTGCCAATGGCAGGGAGAGTGGGCTGAAGCTGGGCGACGTTGAGAGGCGTCTGCCGTGATGGAGGGAAGGATGCTGTGCCAAGCGATGTGTGGGGGTGGGGGGTTCGAGCGCCTGAAGGATGTAGGTTACAGACCACCGTGGAGAGAAGAGTCCAGGCTTCCCTCCCGTGCTGCTTGAGTCAAGGCCTCTCTCCTCCTCTATACACCTTCCCCCACAGCAACACACACATGTGTGCAGGCGCACACTCACCCCCCCCCACACGCCAGCATCTACATCTACCCAACACCCCCTGTTCGCAGGGCAGCCACGGTGGCCGTTTAAATTCAAATTCTAACAAAAGTTAAATAAAACCATCTCCAGATCCACACTTCAAGAACTCAGGCAGGCAGGCGATCAAAGAGCAGTGCACACAGCACACGGAGAAGACGGAACAAAGACACTGACCCCCACGCTGAGGAGACGGTGCCAGCCAGACGGGAGAGTCTAGAAGAAGGAACACGGTTTGCAAAAGCCGTGAGAAGTATAAAACACGGTACCAACAGCCCCGAGCCTTCTGGTTTTCAACAGTATTTGTCACTGTCACCGAAGCCAAGTCAGGGGCCACCCTGGCCGGGGGGAGGCTGTCAAGAGGAAGGAGGGGGTTTCCGGGGCTGGCAGAGCTCTCTTCTTGACCGGGTGGTAACACGTAGATGTGCCATTTTATGGAAAGTCATTAAGTGTATATTCATATTTTATGCACTTTTTGATAAACATATTTTATAATAAAGGTTTTTTTTTTTTTTAAGTTTACTGTGGCTGGAACATAGGGCCCAGGGAAGAAAGCATGAACCTGTGAAAGATCACGAGCTACTCCGAGGGCCAAGGTTTGCTGACAGATTTCAGCCGGGCAGTGGATCAAGTCCTATTTTATCCTAGAAAGACCATGCTCATAGCCGCCTGGGGGGCCATGAACCCCTCAGCGCTTAACTCACTTTCTAGAACATCAAATTCACTAAACACTGAGTGAACCAATGAACAAAAGAATGAATGACTAAATCAGCCAGTGATGGGAAAAGTTCATTTCATTCATGCAAGAAATGTTCAATGAGCACTTCCAGTATTTCAGGCAGTGTTTTTTTTTAAATAGTTTTACTGATTTATTTTTGGCCACGTTGGGTCTTTGTTGCTGTGCAGGCTTTCCTATCGTCGTGGCAAACAGCCTTCTCATCGCAGTGGCTTCTCTTGTGGAGCGCGGGCTCTAGGGTGCATGGGCTTCAGCAGTCGTGGTTCCCAGGCTCAGTAGTTGTGGCCACTGGCTTAGTTGCTCTGGGGGATGTGGGATCTTCCTGGATCAGAGATTAACCCATGTCTCCTGCACTGGCAGAGGGATTCTTCACCACTGAGCCCCCAGGGAAGCCTCCAGGCGGTACTTTTTATACTTATATTCGCTGGCTGTGGGATAAAGCTGTTAGAAGAGGAGGCTGGCTCCGCAGTCACATGCCTTGCCTTGCTGGTCCTCTCAGCCACCCGGAGGTGGGTGCACCGCCGTGTCCTTATCTCAGAGGGAAGGAAGGATGATGCTGGGAGAGCAGGTGACTCATCCAAGACCACATCCTGATGGAGGAAGAAGGTTTTGGCTGATTCTGATTCTGAACTGTCGGTGGCCGTTTAAATTCAAATTCTAACAAAAGTTAAATAAAACCATCTCCAGATCCACACTTCAAGAACTCAGGCAGGCAGGCGATCAAAGAGCAGTGCACACAGCACACGGAGAAGACGGAACAAAGACACTGACCCCCACGCTGAGGAGACGGTGCCAGCCAGACGGGAGAGTCTAGAAGAAGGAACACGGTTTGCAAAAGCCGTGAGAAGTATAAAACACGGTACCAACAGCCCCGAGCCTTCTGGTTTTCAACAGTATTTGTCACTGTCACCGAAGCCAAGTCAGGGGCCACCCTGGCCGGGGGGAGGCTGTCAAGAGGAAGGAGGGGGTTTCCGGGGCTGGCAGAGCTCTCTTCTTGACCGGGTGGTAACACGTAGATGTGCCATTTTATGGAAAGTCATTAAGTGTATATTCATATTTTATGCACTTTTTGATAAACATATTTTATAATAAAGGTTTTTTTTTTTTTTAAGTTTACTGTGGCTGGAACATAGGGCCCAGGGAAGAAAGCATGAACCTGTGAAAGATCACGAGCTACTCCGAGGGCCAAGGTTTGCTGACAGATTTCAGCCGGGCAGTGGATCAAGTCCTATTTTATCCTAGAAAGACCATGCTCATAGCCGCCTGGGGGGCCATGAACCCCTCAGCGCTTAACTCACTTTCTAGAACAGCAAATTCACTAAACACTGAGTGAACCAATGAACAAAAGAATGAATGACTAAATCAGCCAGTGATGGGAAAATTTCATTTCATTCATGCAAGAAATGTTCAATGAGCACTTCCAGTATGTCAGGCAGTGTTTTTTTTTAAATAGTTTTACTGATTTATTTTTGGCCACGTTGGGTCTTTGTTGCTGTGCAGGCTTTCCTATCGTCGTGGCAAACAGCCTTCTCATCGCAGTGGCTTCTCTTGTGGAGCGCGGGCTCTAGGGTGCATGGGCTTCAGCAGTCGTGGTTCCCAGGCTCAGTAGTTGTGGCCACTGGCTTAGTTGCTCTGGGGGATGTGGGATCTTCCTGGATCAGAGATTAACCCATGTCTCCTGCACTGGCAGAGGGATTCTTCACCACTGAGCCCCCAGGGAAGCCTCCAGGCGGTACTTTTTATACTTATATTCGCTGGCTGTGGGATAAAGCTGTTAGAAGAGGAGGCTGGCTCCGCAGTCACATGCCTTGCCTTGCTGGTCCTCTCAGCCACCCGGAGGTGGGTGCACCGCCGTGTCCTTATCTCAGAGGGAAGGAAGGATGATGCTGGGAGAGCAGGTGACTCATCCAAGACCACATCCTGATGGAGGAAGAAGGTTTTGGCTGATTCTGATTCTGAACTGAAAGAGCAGACGGTGCCCTGGCCACCCTTCTCATCAAGGGGAGGATGGGCTGAGGTCCACAGCTGAAAAGACAGTGAGATCCTGATCCACCTTCCTCTGAGAGAGCAGGATTGATGGAATCCTGCTAGAGGAATGTCAGTCAGCTTCGCAAACCAAGCAGTGGGGAGTCAGAGTTTGGGCATGCAGGACAGCACAGCAGTCTCCTGGGCGGCCTCCCAGCAGGGTCCAGAGTGCCCTCATCAAGGAGTTCACTGCTGGTGCTGGAGTTTATGATTTGGTGAGGAGGTAGTGAGGACCCTCTGCAAAGTGAGGAAAGACATGGAGGTGGGCAGGAGGGCAGAGAGTCACCAATGGTGCGTCCACACCTCCTCCACTCCGAGTCCAGCTCTCCTTCCACATGCTGGGGGACAGCCTCCCACTGACTCCTTCAGCAGCTCCACATCCTGTGAGGGCCAGGCCCTGGAGTAACTCTCCCGTGCCACCGTGAGGTGCTTCTGCTTCTCAGCCCAACCCTGTTTCAGACACTGACACAGAAGCCTTCGGCATGCTCTCCCAGGGGGGACTTTGGAGCACAGCTTCGACAATCTCTGATGAGAACCAGGTCATTTTCAGGAAAGGACCCCAGGAGAGTCTAAAAGTTTGATCAGGTTCCCACCAGCCCAAGTTGCCCCACTGCAGCTCCAGGTCATCCCACCCACCAAGGAGCATGCAGCATCACACCAGAGCAGGCACCTCTCTATTGGGCTCCATCCCCATCCAGCTCCATCATCCCCATCTGGCTCCATCATCCCCATCTGGCTCCATCACCTCCATCATCTCCATTGGGCTCCATCATTTCCATCAGGCTCCATCATCCCCATCTGGCTCCCATCATCTCTATCAGGCTCCATCATCCCCATCTGGCTCCATCATCCCCATCTGGCTCCATCACCTCGATCCAGCTCCATCACCTCATCATCTCCATTGGGCTCCATCACCTCCATCAGGTTCCATCACCTCCATCCAGCTCCATCATCTCCATTGGGCTCCATTACCACCACCTCCATCCAGATCCCCATCTGGCTCCATCATCTCTATTGGGCTCCATCACCCCCATCAGGCTCCATCATCCCCATCTGGCTCCATCATCCCCATCTGGCTCCATCACCTCGATCCAGCTCCATCACCTCATCATCTCCATTGGGCTCCATCACCTCCATCAGGTTCCATCACCTCCATCCAGCTCCATCATCTCCATTGGGCTCCATTACCACCACCTCCATCCAGATCCCCATCTGGCTCCATCATCTCTATTGGGCTCCATCACCCACTTCTGGCTCCATCATCCCCATCTGGCTCCATCATCTCCATCGGGCTCCATCAAACTGCATCATCTCCATCGGGCTCTATCACCTCCATTGGGCTCCATCAGGCCCAACAGTTACAGTCACTCAAGGGGGACAGTGTAACTTGGCTACAAGAGAGGACATACAGAGGACACTGTATCCTCTGGGGGAGCTGGGGAGTTTCCGGCCACAGTTGAACTGTGTTAGACTGAACCATGACTCTGCTCCTGTCTTTGTTCGGAAATTCACTATGGGTAAAGAGGGGTGCGTGGATGCCAAACCAAGCCAAGACCAACAGTGGTGCTTTCACACTGTATCAACTCAGCATTTCCCTAAATTCCCTTTCCTGCAGGCCTCTAGGTTAGGACTGGCCACACAGGAAGTTTGTGAGTGACCTGGAAGGCAAACAGGAAGTGGCTGCCAGTACACAGGCAGGCCAAGGGACTGCTAAGCATGCAGCTCCGTGGAGCCAAGGTCCAGCCTATCGTGCGGGGACCCCGTATGGGGAGGTGAGAGGCAGAGGGGCTTCCCAGCGACCTTCCTTGTCCCCAGGATTCACCCAGCTCTCCTCGATGACAGCCAGCCCTATGACACTCACCTTCCCGGGCTCCCACAACTGCACAGGGTCTCGTGTCTACCACACACCCCTCACACTACAACACTTAGGATGGTCCTGCTTCTCTGACAAACTGGACACGACATAGAGCTCAACAAAGCTGCCTGAAGTCCAGAGTAAGTGAAGGGTGTGTGACCCTGGCCAGACCTGGACTCAGCCCCCTGCCACAGAGTCCCCTGGGAGGGGTCCCCGCCTGCAGCCCAGGTTCAGCCACAGATGCCTGGGTCACGAAGCCCAGAGCGTGGGCTCTGCTAACCCACTGTCTCCCCAAGCAGCAGCCCCTCCACGACTCTCCCCTTGGGATTAGCTCAACCCAAGGGGCCTGCCGTTAGCAACTCAGGACAGGACGCCCCAGCCAGGTGGGGCTTCTCGGACCGAAAATAACCACGGGCTCCCACAGCTGAAACAAAAAGACTATCAATTTCTAGTTTTGAAAGCATGTTGGAAGAAGGGGGAGTGGAGGCGGCAGACAGCTGGGACCAAACGTCCCCAAAGTTGGGAAATACCCTCATCAAGATGTTTTTGTTCTTTATTCTCTGCTCTCAGAAAGAAAGGGATCCAATGAAGTTTTGAATTATATCAAGCCGTTTATCTTTTGTGTGTTTTGTACTTAATTTACAATCTTCTGAGGCAGTTGATGCTTAAGAAATGATTTAAATGCATTTTTGCCAAATGGTTCTAAAATGAAAGAGAAATTAAAATATTTAATCTCCAGATCTCAAGACCCAAGATTTCACAGCCCTCTCATGAGAGAACAATCCCTTCTCTCACTCAGACCTCATTCAGAACAAGGAGTATCTACTGATGCTGGGCTGAGCCTCTGTAGGAAGTTTCCAGAGAGAGCAGGCGTGAGTGAGCGGCAAAGGCCCTTGGGCCTTGGAGTCCAGCCCGCCTGGCTTCTGTGTGTCTCTCTTCATGTTCACAAAACATCCCGAGGGGATCTCCTGCTAACAAGCAAGTTAGATTCCGCTTTGCTCTCATGGCTCTGCTTGCGTGCTGCCAGGGGAGAGAAAGATGGCAAACCCCAAGTCTGCATGAAGCAGAGACTTCCGGTGACAGGCAGATGGCGAGGATGAAGGAGAAAGTGTCTGAAAACAGAGGAGATGGGATGACAGGCACGGAGAGTCTCTCCAAGACACAAGCTAATAAGTCTTTCACTCCCATTTTATCCATGTTTAACGGGAAAGGCAAGTTGGGTTCCCTAAGTCAGCACACTCAGAGAGGCCATGTCTGTGTCATTACAAGACAAAGCATGCTGCCACCAGCGTACATTCTGCTGTTGTTCAGTCGCTCAGCCGTGTCCAGCTCTGCACCCCATGGACTGTAGCATACCAGGCTTCCCTGTCCATCACCAACTCCCGGAGCTTACTCAAACTCATGTCCATTGAGTCGATGATGCCATCCAACCATCTCATCCTCTGTCATCCCTTCTCCTCCTGCCTTCAATCTTTCCCAGCATCAGGGTCTCTTCAAATGAGTCAGTTCTTTGCATTAGGAGGCCAAAGTTTTGGAGCTTTAGCATCAGTTCTTCCAATGAATATCCAGGACTCCTTCCCTTTAGGATGGACTGGTTGGATATCCTTGCAGTCCAAGGGACTCTCAAGAGTCTTCTCCAACACCACAGTTCAAAAGCGTCAATTCTTCGGTGCTCAGTCTCCTTTATGGTTTGACTCTCACATCCATACATGACCACTGGAAAAACCACAGCTTTGACTATATGGACTGAAGAGTATAAGGGGGAGAAAGAAAGCCAAAGCTCTAGAAACAAATTCCAGACATCACTACAAAAAGGTGTTCAAAGCCAGCATGTCCTTCTTTCTGTGAATGTGAAAGTTGTCAATAAAGGGGCACTTCTGAGTCTCCAGCAGGAAGAGAACAGCCATGTCGTGATAGCCCTAACTTAGGCAAAAACATTCTGGTAAAACCTGTATGAATGAAGGGAAAGAAAAGAAACAGGAGACAACCTAAATGTTGATCAACAGGTGAATGGACGAAGAAGCTGTGGTACGAATATTCAATGGAATACTACTCAGCCCTAAGAAAGAACAACAGACTATTTGCAGCAACATGGGTGGGCACAGAGATCATCCTACTAAGTGAAACAAGTCAGAGAAAGACAAAGACCATGTGATCCCACTCACATGTGGGATGTAGAATAGGGCACAAATGAACCTCTCAGTGAAGCAGAAACAGAAGTGGGGACTCAGAGGGCAGACTGGTGGCTGCCAACGGAGTGGGGGTGGGAGAGGGTGGGATTGGGAGTTTGGGGTTAGCAGATGCAAGCTGGTATTTACGGAAAAGATAAACAGCAAGGTCCTACTGCACAGCGCAGGGAACTCTATTCAATATCCTGTGATAAACCATAATGGGAAAGAACACGAAAAAGGATATAACTGAGTCACTTTGCTATATCGCAGTAATTAACACAACATTGTAATCTGACCATACTTGAATAAGAAATAAATTTAAAAATGAAACAAACAGCCATGATATGTCTACTTGTTTTGTATGTATCTTGTAGACACGCCCTCCTGGCGGCACCATGAATGCAGCCTCCAAGGGACATGCCCTGGTCAAGCTGGCAGGGACCCCATGGGCACATGCCTCAAAAGGCCATCCCCTTCTGACCAAAGGGAACACATTTCACTAGCTGAGACATGTTCCCATGGCAACGGGGTTTCACTAATTTTGAGTCACAAAAGAGGACAACCGTCTGAAATTACCCAGGTGTGAGGAGGACACCTTAGACTTCTCAAAGCCCTTCCTGTATCCCCTCCCTTGGGTTCTCCTGACTCTAAACGTCCACGCTGCTGGGCATGCCCCAACTCCCCTTGACCCCAGGAAACGGGGGGCTCCGTAACAGCCTGGCCGGACGGGAGGCCACTCACTTGAGGTGATGTACTCTGGAGCTTTCCCGGGACTCAGGGGCACGGCCTCCTCGTAGTAGCCTTCCGGGAGAGAGGACGTTGGGAGCGGTGGCGGCCCACTGTCGGGTGGCTGACAAAGGAAAGAGAAACAGCAGAGCGCAGGCGTTAGGAGAGAATGCTGGACTCTTACCCAACAGGTGTCCACGGGCATGCTCCTCTCTCCCTTGCAATGTCTCCGCAGAAAAGTAACATCATCCGACAAAGACTCCTAGAAGGGTCGCCACTGCTCACCTGCCCACCACCATCCTCTGCCTGGCCCTGGCCACGCCGCTCAATCCACGCCACTCGCCATCATCACCAGACAGAAACGCAGGCAGAGGCTGCAGTCACTGGTCCTGGCAGACCCCTCCCCAGAGCAGACACGGGGGTCTCTCCTCCCCTCCACCCAACGGCTCACCCCACACCACTGACCCTCCCAGGTCCCCAGGCTGACTTTCTCCTCCTAGGACCACACTCCACACCAGAGACCACTGGGGGGCACAGAGACGGTTCAGACCTGCCCGTGCGCATCACAGAGCAGTTCTCGTTACGTGGCAACTGAAGAGATGAGCGTGTGTGCCCTCTGTCTCACCAAACTCCTTCTGTGTGTCAGGGGAACTTACAAAGAGAAGAGGAAATCACCCATGAGCCAGCTCTAAAAGAAACGGGACATTCTTGGAGAAGGAATCTGCTCATCACTCAACCCAGTCCCATCGCAGTTCCTCAACAGACTCTGAGACAGGCAGGCTGGTTTCGAAGCCGTAAGTTCACAACGTGGAAAGCTGACGGGTGCAGGTCCGTACAAATTCCAGCAAGACCAGCTGAAGCACCAGTCTCTCAAACGTCCCTGGCGACACTAAAGCAGACCCAGCTCTTCCTCCCATGAACACGTGTAGGATCTGCTGGCTCCATCCCTCCTGGACCTCAGGACAACAGAGACAGGAGGGCTGGAAAGCCAACACGCACCAGCACCTGCTACCTGCGGGCACCACCCTGAGCAGCCTCTGCCCCGGTCATAAGCTGCATCAGCCATCCATCCGGGGACACTTCAAGGTCATCACCTTATGTTTTACAGACTGCATGTTTTACACACACTACATCACATTGTTTTACAGACACAGAAAGTGAGGCTCCGCGTCTAAAAACACTTGCTCAACATCAGATGCTGCTTCGTGACAAGCTGGGGTCTTCAAGCCCAGGCCTGCCCAGCAGTGACCTTTTTTCGATTCATATTCTCTCATATTCACTCTCTTCCCCATTTCCTAACTAGCTCACATCACCCATATCCTATAAACAAACAGGAAAGATGTCACTGGGAATGGAAGAGAACAGAGGCCCCAAACTGAAGAGCAACCAAGTTCAGTTTCCAAGGAGAACAATGACCCATAGAACATGAAACTCCACCTTCTTTTTTTTCTGTAACTCAAGCCTGAAGCCAAGGAGTCCTTTGCGAATGACTAATCGCCACTGTGGGCTCAACCCACTCCTTCCTCTCAGAGATGAAGGAAGATAATTCACTCCAGGTCATCTGTGCAGCTCTCCGCCCCGTCCTCGAAGGCAGCTTCCCGGCCCTGGCTCCCCTGCACTCCCCTCCCCAGGCTGCTGCCGCCGGCCCTCACCCTGGGCTCTCATGCTGGACACGTCCAGGTCCTCCTGAGGGGTGGTGCTGACAGTGGAGCCTGATACACGACCCTCCCTGGGCCAGGTCAGAACAGAAGTCCACATGGGGGTTGAAAATCTCCGCTCAGTGCTTTTGGTAGATGGCTGAGTCCCTGAGTGTTTTTATTGATGAAATGAGAATGTTTCAACTTCCTCTTAGTGTGTTGAGACAGTGAAATTATTCATGTTCTGGGAAAGCATTACCAATGGCTGAATCAAACAAACACTCATCAATTAGCACAGCACACTCTTCCTTTCCAGGGCTGCTAAGGTGTGTGAGGCAGGAGCTGACGCTCAGCTAATGAGACTTCTCAGCGGACCCTCAGACCCCGCTGGTGCGCACTCCACACAACCTCTCCACCTGTATGCCCTCAAATCCACGATTCTACTTCTAGAAATATATGCTAAGAAGGTCAGCTGGTCACATGAGCAAAAACATATAAGGATATTCAATAAAAGCTTTTCCCTCCAATTTAAAAGCAATCAAAATATCCCGAGATGAGACTGTTTAGGTGTTCCAACACATCCACGTGCAGCCATTTAAAAGGAAAACGGTGCACACATGTGGTCATTTACTTGAAAAGTCTCTACTGGACGCTGTTACATGAAAGAAAACAGGTACCCGTTAGCCTATTGGAGCTGCGCTTATGCGGACCTTTACACAAAGACGGATCACTCCCCAAAATGCTTAACACAAGGTTACAGCTGTTTAAAGCATATCTGTACAGCTCGAATTTTCTTTGGGTTTTTTGGTTTGTTTGCTTGCTTTTGTTTTTTTAAGCAGTACTTTGCGGCATGTGGCATCTCAGTTCCCTGACTAGGAACCGAACCCGTGACTCCCTGCATTGGAAGTGCACAGTCTTAACCACTGGCTGGTCAGGGAAGTCCATTGAATTTTCTATATAATACTGTTTTTAAAATAAAAAGAAAAAACAAACTTTAATTCTTAAATTATACATCTCAAAAAATAATGTTTCTAGAGAAGCACCCTGCCTCTCCAAAGAGGATCTCACATTCCACCCCCAAATGCCACTTGTCCTTGAACTTCTGCCTCAGGGCTTACAGACACAGGCAGAGGTGATAGTTTGTTAAAGGGCAGATGCGGGAAGAGACAGAAAAGAATACAAGGACCACGGTTTAGCACCACGGCCTTCAAAGGGAACGCTTCCTTCAGATCCTTCCAGTAGGTCAGAAGTCACTGGACTTGCTGGAGTAGACTCTTGAGAGTCCCGTGGACAGCAAGGAGATGAAACCAGTCAATCCTAAAGGAAACTAACCCTGAATATATGCTGGAAGGACTGATGCTGAAGCTGAAGCTACAGTACTTTGGCCACCTGGTGTGAAGAGCCAACTCAGTGGAAAAAGTCCTGATGCTGGGAAAGATTGAGAGCAGGAGAAGGGGGTGACAGAGGATGAGATGACTGGATGGCATCATCAACTCAATGGAGATGAGTTTGAGCAAGCTCCAGGAGACAGTGAAGGACAGGGAAGCCTGGTGGGCTGCATGCAGTCCATGGGGTCGCAAAGAATTGGACAGAACTGAGCGACTGAACAAGACGGCACAAACACAATGACCATTTTGCTATTATTTCAGCAAAATAACAATATTAACTACTATTCACAGACTGCCTTCCGTGTGTCACACACTGTTCTGGGTGACTTTCTGTATCTTTTTTCTTGTTCAGAAGACAACTCTGAGAGGTTCGTGTTTTGAATATCATTTTGCAAACGAGGAAACTGAGGCTCAGGGGATGATGGATGTTGCCCAGTGCCCCTGCTGCGGCCGAGCTGCTTCGTGGAGGAGAAGGAGCCAGCGGGTGGGCACTGCGGCAGTGAGGGTGCATCCCTGCGCCAGGACCAGGCCCGGGCACCTACCACTGTGGTGGCTGAGCCAGGTAAGATGCAGGGGAAGCACCTTCCCGACCTTCAGGGTCACTGGACGCAATCTGAGGCTTCCAGCTCCTGCAGCTCAGCGGGGTGTGTCCTCTCATCCCCTCGGGAGGAAGGCGCATCTGTACTGTCTCTGTCTCCACTCCCACTCCTCCGTTCTCCTCTCCCCTACTGCACTTTCCCACCCCACCACCTTCGCCTCCGCCAGCCCCAATTTATCACTCAGTCCTTTGCACCAGACACGCCAGTGAACCAGAAGTCCTGACTTTAGCAGAGAAAAACCCCAGCTGAGAATGTGGACTCTCTTTCTGACTTTAATTCTGTACGCACAGGGGTATGTCCAGATTCTTTCTGGTTATGGTGATTAAAATCATAAAAGTAAAGTGGTGTGATGGGCCCAGGACACACACGTCAGGAAGAACAAGTGCATGAGTTCGTGCGGGCTCAGTGTATCCGACTCTTTGTGACCCCTGCGTGGACTGTAGCCCACCAGGCTCCTCTCTCTGTGGGATTTCCCAGACAAGGATACTGGAGGGGGCTGCCACTTCCTTCTCCAGGGGATCTTCCTGACCCAGGGACTGAACTTGTGTCTCCTGCATCTCTAGTATTGGCAGGTGGACTCTTTAGCAGCAGCCGAAAGATAGGATCTGACAGAAGAGAAGCGGGCCCACGCTCTAGTTCTGCCACGCATAGGCAAAACCCTTTTCTGCCGGCGTGAGGATAGAAGCAGCACTCCACAGCATCAGCTAAGCTTCCTGACTTTCAACAGGGAACAAAAGTGTAAGGTCTAAACTGCAAAACGTGGTTTCAACCCCAACGTCAAGAATTTCGAGTATGGGACTTCCCTGTCGCAGGCTTAGTCTCCACTCTGCAACTGGTAAAATGCCTAATTTTGTCATATAATCTCCAAGAATCTCATGATCCCATCTGTCAAACACAGAAAACGAAGCTGCTGTGAAAGTACTTTAGGAAAGACGAAATGACATCCAGGCAGGTGGTGGGGGCTGGGACCAAAACCTCAGCTTCTGAGAGACAGGAAGTAGAATGCTGGCTCCAGGGGCTGGCGGAGGGGAGCCCTGTTCACTAGGGACAGGGTGTCAGTCTGGAAAGATGAAAAGTTCTGGAGATGGTCGTGGTAAGGGCTGCCCAGAAATACGTATGTACTTTACACAACTAAACTCAGTTCAGTTCAGTTGCTCAGTCGTGTCTGACTCTTTGCGACTCCATGGACTGCAGCATGCCAGGCCTCCCTGTCCATCACCAACTCCTGGAGATCACTCAAACTCATGTCCATTAAGTTGGTGATGCCATTCAGCCATCTCATCCTCTTTCACCCCCTTCTCCTCCTGCCCTCAATCTTTCCCAGCATCAGGGTCTTTTTCAATGAGTCAGTTCTTCACATCAGGTGGCAAAAGTATTGAAATTTCAGCTTCAACATCAGTCCTTCCAATGAATATTCAGAACTGATTTCTTTTCGGATGGACTGGTTGGATCTCCTTGCAGTCCCAGGGACTCTCAAGAGTCTTCTCCAACACCACAGTT